ATGCGGGATATACTGTGCGGTAATGGTGAGCATAATGGTTTGCTCACCCCCATTCTTTTCCTTCTTGTCTCCTCTTCCATTGTGTAGGTTGAGCATGGCTGGCGGCGGCGGCGTGAAGACGATCGAGTGGTGGTCATTTGTCGTTGTGTTATCGTTATCTTATGCTTCCGCCTACTTTATGATTATGTTGAACTGTTGCTTTTGACTTTGATTATTTCCTGCTTTGGTTTGGATACATTGATATTGTAAGGTTAAACTTTTGGAATTATGTTTAACTTTCTGGTTGGATTTGAAACTTAATAAATAAATTGATTTAATTTTTTATGACTGTTAGTTTATGCATGTATAAGTTCAATCTATGTGTTCGTATTTGTTTAATTGTCCTTGGTAGTTAAGTAGCGCCCGTTGAGAATCAAATTTTAATTTGAGATTTTGTGAAAATTTTACTCTGATTTTCATAAATAAATTTTGTAAATCCTTTAAAATAAAACAGGGCGTTACAAATCCATTTTGTCGTGATGTCGCATAATGTGAGGCTCGAATTGTACATAGAACAGAACGATGCACATTGGAAGTCGTTTGTTGAGTCCAATTACGAACGTTGGACGGAGCAGACCCAACAGGTGGAACGAGTTCGTGCAGAACAATGAGGAACACTGGACGGCCCATGATAACCAATGGGACACATGGAAGCACAGCAATATTCAGCAATGGAGCGTGTGGGACTACCGTTTCGACTAGTGGGATACCAGTTGGAGTGCGGGTAGCAGCCACCCTCCACATCCACCACCGGACGCACAGTGACTTGTCACTGTGCTTTGTACGTTTTTCTTTCTCTTTCTCTTTCGTTTTGTATAGTTTGTTTTGTTTTCAATCGATTAATTATGTGGTCTAACTTTCTTTCACCGTGGATCGACAATGGAGACATTGTCTGATTTTAAGTGTGGGGGATTTTTACGTGCTTACGAGACTATGTGGTTGACCAGGTCTAGTTTTCATTTTAGGTTGCTTTTATTTCTTTTCTCTTGCTTGGTGGACCGGTCTAGTATTTAGGTTTTTTGTGTTTTTTTTTCCGAGTTTGGACTATGGTGATTGTAGGATTGGTTAATAATTGTTGATTGAGCTGAGGAGTTATGATGATGAGAATGAGTGTCGCATCTTGATGAATTGCTTGGTTGTTTTGATTAACATTTATCCACCTTGTGAGGTTTGAGCCACATTTGTTTCTTGTGAGACATTGGTCAGAATCTTTGTCAATTAGGATTTGCCTTGAGTCTACTTTGAAATGAATATGTTGGATTTGTGTAATGTGAACATGATAGAGGCATTCTTTGTATTTTCATCCCTTTTTCTTCATTCAAAAATAATATTCACTAGTCGCCCCTTCGAGCCTTATTCGATTTTTATTGATAACCTCGTAATGATGAAGTTGAGGAGTTGCAGGTTGACATCTAAAGGTGACGATTTGTGAAATTGTGAATATTTGTGAACAAAAGAATGGAAGCCGAATGGATTATACTCCAAGTGCTCCAACCACTAATCTTAGTGGTCATGAGCAATGAGTACGGGAAACCGGTCTAGGAGACTCGGGCAGAAAACCCGAAGGCTAGCCTAGATAAAATGTCCAAAAGGTTTCCATAATAATAAAAAAAAAAAAAAAATAGTGGTGAATAATGTGGGAAGTGTGTTGGCTTTTGAGGATGTGGGAGGAACCGGTTGGTGTTGACAACCGGAAGAGTTCCTGATCACGATTAGGTGATTGAATTGAGTTGATTAGATTTTTATTGTGCCACTTAGCCGATATTTATCCTACCCGATCCAAAGAGCCTACGTTACAACCCCAGAAGTCCTCTTGATTTACTATTTCATGAGTTTGATTGTTTTAGAGTAAATGTTAGACGATAGGCAAATTTATGATTGATTTGATTGACGACAAACTTGAGTGCACCTATCTTATATTTGTAGAAGAAACTGAGTGAGGCACATATTATATTTTCGTACTCGAGAGTTTGTGGTCAAGCTAGTAATTGAGGTTTGCTCTTGTAATCACTGAAATTTTTCTCGACTTGATTGATTGGTTTGAGACTAGTCTTGCTTGAAACTGTTGTCCTTGCTCTTTTGCTTGTGTTTTTTTATTTTCTTTTTGTCCGGGATGAACAAAGGTTCTAGTGTAAGGGAGTTGTTTGTCCCATTTTTGTTGCTATTTTTGTTGGTGTTTTGATTGTCTTTTCCCCCATTTTAGGTCGTTTCTTAGGTTTTTTCGATCCGCCTAGTCGTTTCTTGTACTTTTATTGTTATTTTGGTGCGTTTGGTATTTTCGTTGTTTTTCTTCCTATTTTCCCTGTTTTTCGTGTTTTCCGGTTGTGGTGGTTTCAGATTTCAGGTTGATCGGATGACGAGCATTCAGACGGAGAAGTGTGTTGTCCAGGTTTCTAGGAGTTTCCATCGTTTCGTGTGACCCAAACACAAAGGAATCGAGTTCCCAGCTCGGGCAGAACCTGAGAGATGCTAGCCGAGAGAACCGGAGATAAAGCACAATATTTTGAGGCTACCCAGACCCTAGCGCTGCTAGCCTCTACTGTCTAGCGGCGCTAGATAAACTAGCGACCAACTGAAGCTGCGATGATTGTGACCCTAGCGCCGCTAGGTCTGTTTTTCAGCAGTTGCGTTTTTCTCGTGATTTCAAAAAAGAAGCTTAATAGATCGAGTTAGGGCAGATTTTACTGATCTTTGAGCATTGTATTTCGTACTTGAGACTACCAAACCATCTTTCACTTGGTTTTTGCTTGGATTTGGCTTTGGAGAGTAAAAAACTCCATCTCACGGATTTGGATTGTTCTCGGTGTTTAACATTCAGATTCATATTAATTGTAAGTTCTTATTCTCTTATTTTTTTACGATTGTGATTGTAACGCCCCGTTATTTTTAAGTGATAAATAACATTTTATTTTTCCAAAAATCAGAGTTAATTTTTCAAAAAACGTTTTAAAGATTTATTTAACGGTCGCTACTCAAAATTTCACATAATACTGTTTAAGTCCACACTAGGACCACCGGGTATAACCATCCCGAGCATATATATCTCATGCCAAACAATAACATTTATTGAATCATGTGAAATACTCAAATCAAATCCAACATGATCAATATATATCCAATTCATATTCAGAATCCAATGTCATAACAATAATCCAATAAAACCAAATCTCAAATATTAATTAAGTTTCATAAATCAGTTCGATTTCCATATGATAAGCCTAACAATGAGATAATCAATAATAAATAAGCGGAAGCAGGTAAATGGCAGTTCAACATCAAATAATGACCCCGCCTCGCTCGTCTTTCGCTACGGCCATCAGCTCAACCTGAAAGATGGTTAATAGTGGGAATGAGCAAACAACTAGCTCACCGTGGGAATATCATGCAGTATAATCAATATAAAGACTTAAAATCATGGTCAACAGTATGTAAGCAAATCGGCTAGCCTACCCTCCCTCAACCCAGCCACTCATGTGATCACACCTAATCCTATCCATCAGACACAAGATAGGTATAGCCGCCACGCAAGGACAGGAGCCGTCAATATAACCAAAGACGGGAGCAACCGCAGAGGTAACCTGCACACGGACTAAGCTCTCTAAAGGCTAGAGTTAGGCCTCATAGACTACCGGTTCACATGCATACCTAGATCATCAAGCCAAGCATTTATAGAAATTAACATACATGGTAAGTTTATCAACACCCACCTGGTTAGTCGAGATAGACAGATACACAACAATCAGCAAAAGGTTGTAGGCAGAGGGCTCGACTCCTCGTTAATTTACAGTTAATAATTTTTATCTTATTATTAAGGTTGGTGAAAATAGGTAAGGACAGGCAAGGACAAGTAAGGAAAATGAAACACATAAGGCAGATATGACAAACAAAGCAATTAAAACAATTAAGACAATTAAGAGTAATTAAAGCACATAAACTTTTCTAACTCTTATTTTTTACTCTTAACTGCTTACTCACGGATAAATGCGACATGTAAAGATGAGCAAGCCAATAAGACTTAGCATAATCTCTATGAAGCGGGAAAAAAAAAATTATAATAACAATATATCAAAATTGTGAAGACCAGTTAGTTTCAACAGGGCACAATACACTTAGTCTTAAATGCTTCGATTACTTATTAAAGCGAGTGCAATCATAAGATGAAGAAAAATTGAACATCACTACTCAAAGCACACTTATTCATGTATCCACCAAGTTTCACAGTATAAAATGAATCAGGCAAATAATTGTGTACTTGAGCACTATGTACCAAAAAACCATACTTAAAAACTCAGGAATTCTCAAAACAGCAAATACAATGGTTATATGATCACACTCCAATCCAACCTTTTATCTCAAGACAGCAAAATGCCACAAAAACAAATCTCATAGTTTTGTACAAGCTAACGAAGGCCAACCTATTGAGAGGCAAACTAGACTGTATACATCCATCATCTCCTTCAACAAACTGAACAGTAATCAAAGATATACCAAAATCGAAACCCATAAACATTCTAGCATCCAAGTAAAGAAAAGTTCATTCCATTAACTATGAAATAAACAACTAATCTAACTCCCAGCACAATTCCTCTAAAACACACACACACATACACGCAGCTAACAAAAACCTCACAAGTAGCACAGAAAAGCCACGGCAGAAACATCACACAAAGGGATCCAAATTCACGAAGATAGAAGGGAAAACTCGAAATATACATCGCTTCGGAATCTACACACGAGGACGGTAGGATCTAAAAAGGAGCTGTACGAAGCTCGATGCGCAGCAACACACGGTAACTTGCTGGGCATTTGGTCGAGGCTGTCGGGGCGCGGCTATCTCCGACGGGTCTCGGCACGTTACCGTTCATGGTTCGAGGTGACTAAACGAGCACGAACAGGGGCTCGTCTCAACCCGCGGCCGCTGCTCGAGGGTCTGCCACTCGAGGACATGCGGCTGAAGCTCCTCAACGGGGCGCTGCTGCGAACGACGGCTGGTCACGGCAAGTCGCTGGTCGAGGGTCGCCGGCGATGGCTGCCTTTGGTCGGAGGTCGAGGTCGAGGCTAAACAGAGCTTGGTCGTCGAGAGCTCGAAATTGCGGGACAATGGTCGTGGCTCGCGAACAGTCGCCGCCCGACGGGAATCGAGGCCCGAAGTTGCTGGAGGCCTGGCTTCGTCGGACGTTGGTCCCGCCTCCCGGAAATCTGATGACCCTCGGCTCGCAGTGAATGGAGGGCTCACGGTCGGAGGAGACGATGGCTGGACAGAGCTCGGTCGCCGACAGCCCGAAATCGCAGAACAATGGTCGGGCTCGGGAGGTCGTCGTCAATGGTGGCTCGATTGCCGGTGATAAGGGCCGTTCGATCGGGAATAGAGGAAGAGGATCGTCGCTTGTCTTCTCGCCGGAAACCTAGCGAAGAAAAAGAGATGTAGTCGAGTGGAAGAAAAGGACGGTCAGAGGTTGATTTTTCTTTTCTCGATCGATGCTGTGTGAGAGACGAATCTCGGCTGGGATTTGAGGAAAGAGTCGTGTGGTTAAGGAGCTTCGAGAACGGCGGAGAGTCTGTTGGATTAGGGCTACCCGATGGACAACACAGCTGCTGGAGTTTGGAGATGATGAATGCTAAGTAATGGGCTGTTATGGGCCAAAACAATTTTTATTCAAAATCGGGCCAAATAAAACTAACAAGTAAGAACCAAGAATGTACAAGGAGAGGGCCAAAATACTCAACTTTTTGGGCCAGAAAATATTGGTAGAAAGGGCCAGGAGTTCTCATGGGTTAAATGGACCGAATATGCTTACCAATGGGTCGAAAAATAAGTGTTCGAGGTTCGGGTCGAAATGGCTTGAGAACGGAACCAAACGGATAAATATTCGGTTTACCCAATTAAACACCGAAACAATTAAAATTACAATCAATACAACAACAACAACATACCCAGTATATTCCCAACAGGTTGAGGTCTGGGGGATCAGTTGAATGCAGACTTTACCCTTGTAATTATACAAGAAGGCTGTTTCCGTAGCGACCATTGCGCCGTTTGATATATTTTTTTTTTTTTTTTCTAGAAACTTCACTAATAGAAGAAGCACTAGAATTTAATTGAGTCATTTTGATCTAGTCCATTATTAGCACTATGCCAGGAGAATTGTCAACAATGACTCTTCCAGCTCCATTTCCAATGGACATAATCAATGGATCCTAATATTCTAACACATAAATAACAAATTAAACTACATAACAAATAAGGTCAATTAGGCACATAGGAAATAATATTCAAGCAGATAATATAAAGCGAAGACATAATCAATTATAAGCGAATAAATAATAATATAATATTCCTACAATTCAAATAAACGAACGGGGCGCTACAGTGATGGCTTGTTTTAATGTGATTATCGGTGTTGAATACATGATGAGTGGCTAAACCTGTTAGTTAGGAATAGATGATTGTTTCAGTTTGTTTTCGATTACGTGCTCATTAATTGTTCAATCTATGCGAGTTGGGTTATTCTAGGGTTAGTTGATTGATCACCATTCTAACCTAGTTAATCGACTTTTAGAACCGAAAGGGGAGAAGTCGGTCGATTTAGGCTCGTTTAGAATAGACATGTTTGTTATTGTATTGTCTATGTGTTATTGGATTTGATAGTTGATCGTTTACATTCACTCTCTTGTTAATAAGAGTTATTGAGAGTGAACCTCTAGACGAGTTAGCTTTTCGAGTCTTCTAACCAAGCAATTGATTGCCCGGTAATTGCAATTGGAACCGAAAACGATTATCCCTGATTTCCTAGCTTTTCTATCATTACGTGAATTTGTTTAGAATTGGAATTTCGTTTTACCTTTTTTGAGAATTGTTAGTTGCTACTTGAAACCAAAAGCAATCGAACTAGCGTGTTTAGGATTTGTTTTCTCTTTTTGTGTGATTGAATATCCGTACAATTTAATCCGGCCACCCTTCCTTGAGATACGACCTAGGGATTGAGTCTTTCGATTTAACTCCGGTAAAAACAACACAACACTGTGCACGACACCAGCACGTAGTGCGCCTGTGTCACATGCATCCAGTCGCTACAATTCATTCCACATCAACTGTTACATCTCCTGGTGTTGTTGCGCAGACGAAAATCAGAAACCCATGGCGCGTTGAGTCTAATCATTTCGATAACTATGTACACATGGTTTATCGCCAGGGTACTTATCCTTCAACGCGAGTCGGTCGGCTTACTGTAATTTATGCTCTTTCTATTTAATCGAACCTCCTTCATTATGAGACGAAAGTGTCGAACTTGTGTCGAGTCTGGCAGTTCTTCGGTGGTTGCCTCAAACATGCCCATGCTACTCCTTCGGCACTCTTTCTGTGATGATCACTCTTCTCGCTCTCAACTATGTTCCCAAAAATTCCTTGGCTACCTTCCTTAAAAGATTCGTCTTGATCTTTAACCTTGATCACACTCTTGGTATTGTCCTCGAATTTGTTCTGAAAATGAAATCCTTTTACTTCTTCTAAGTGGAGCATTACATCACGATCATGATGTGAAATGTTCACCAAATCGTCCCGGGAATAAGTCAAAATCCTTCTTATCGATCAGGTATTCATTAGCTCTCACGTCCCTTGTGTACTGGATTCAGCCTCCCTCATGATCTTATTATACTCTATCAAGATGAATTCATAAGTAGCTTTGATAGAAAACAAGCCTTTCCTATGATTCTGCCACACCATCCTATCTCTCTGGTCTTAAGTACTAAGAGGATTGTTAATGATTTTTTCTGACACAAAAGGATTGAATGATTGGTAAATCAGCTCTTCATCTCACTCATACCTATCTTTTTTCAATAATCACTCACAAACTCTAACATATCCCTGTCATCAGGAAACTCGCACACAGGTTTTGTTCCAGCTATACTTTGAATCCAAGGGCTATCCCAAATTCTAATTGACTTCTCATCNTGTAATCATAAATAAACACTCTTTGAGAAAATATTTTCCTCTCATAACTTTGCTCATCAGAATGTTGGGATAAGTTAATACCCTCCACAACTGTTTAGCTAACAACACCTGGTTCTTAAATCTTTAAACCCTAAACCCCCCAGACACTTAGGTTTAGCTACCTCCTTCCATTTTAACCAATGCATTATGTTACTCCCATCCTGATGTTTCCTCACCAAAATTGGAAATATCTTGCACATTTCAGCACAAATGGTAAAAGGAACTTTAAAACAGAATATGGCATGTGTAGGGAGAGCTCTCAAAATAGTCTTAATTAAGAACTCTTTGACAGCCTCACTCAAGAAGATGTTTTTCCAATTGCCCACTCTTTTTTTGACACTCAGAAATGAATTTAAAAATATCATATTTTGATCTCCTAATCCCCAGAGGCAATCCCAAATACTTGGAATACTTAACACAAGAAATACCATTAAGAATTCTGCAAATATCAGCTTTACTACTGTTCTGAGTATCCTTGGAAAAGAAACTGAAGATTTACTCGAATTCACAGCCTACCCTGATTGATGTAACATAATTGTTCAGAATATTCAAGATTTGATGAGCATGATAACATCAGCATTGCAAAATAAAATGGCATCATCTAAAAAAAAAAAGAAGATGGGAAATATTGGGAAAGTTTATACTGATTCTAAGACCACTAAAACATTGATACACACAGGCTTGTTTCAACAAATTGGACAAGGCTTCAGATAGAAGAATGAATAAGGGGAAAATGGGTCCCCTTGTCTAAGGCCCTAGAAGGTCTAACAAAACCCAAAGGTTGCCCATAAACATTAAAGGAGAAGGAAGTTGTACAAATGCAACTCTGAATCCAATTGATAAAGACATTATTGAACCTCATTCTTCTACAGATTTTCACTAAAACCCCTCATTCCACTCTATCGTAGGCTTTTTCCATGTCTAATTTCACAGCCATGAGGTTATTTTTGCCTTTTATCCTAATATTTAAGAAGTGAATGCACTCATTTGTAATGATCACATTATCAGGGATCTGCCTTCCAGGAACAAAGGCAGATTGAGACTCATAAACACACACATTCAGAACTAGTTTCAACCTATTAGCCAAAATTTTAGCTATCACTTTGTAGTCCACAAAATAAAGACTAATTGGCCTATAATCAGACACTTTAACAGGATTAGGCACTTTAGGAATTAAAGTGATGACAGAGTGATTAATACCAACATGCATACAACCACTAACAAAAAAAATTATCAACAGCTGCACATAAATGATGCTTGATATAACTCCAAGCATGTTGAAAGAAACCTACTGTCATACCATCTTTACCAGGGGCTTTCTAATTCTCCATTCATATGAGGGCCTCCTTAATCTCCTCCTCCTCCACCTTACATATCAGCATCTGTTTCATCTGCTCAGAAATTAATCAGGGAATCCCTTCCAGATTACAGCAATTCACATCAGGGTTAGAAGATTGAAAAATATTCTAAAAATAAGTCACCAATTCTCAAGTGATCTCCTGAGTGTTCCTACATCTAGAACCATCATTTTTCACTAAGTTAACCAAACTATTTTTAGCTCTTCTTTGTTTTAAAGTAGCTTGGAAGTACTTAGTGTTCTTGTCCCTCCCTCTTAAGCCATTAAATCCTTGCCTTTTGACTCCAAAAATTTTCATCCCTTTTATAATCATGCCTCTGCAGGTTTTTATATCTATTCCAAGCATCCCAGTCCGTACTACCTCCCTGTTTACTAAGAGATTCAATTTGACTTTGACAGTGCTCTATGGTTTAAGAAGAGTTGGTATTAAACTTCATTTTCCACTTACTAATAGCAAATCTAACATTCCTTATCCTCTCTTGTAAGCTATACAATAAAGGCCCATACACTAGTAAATTCCAAGCTAATCCCACCACCTCATCAAACCCAGGTAACTTAGTCCATCTAGTATCAAACACAAATCTAGTGTTTCTACCCTTCAAAGTATGATCACTGTACAGAATCAGTAGACTGTGGTCAGATGAACTCACGGTAATGTGCTTGACAGGAACTAAGGAAATTGAATCAGTCAATTGGGACAGAAAATAATTCTATCAAGTTTCTCTTCAATAAGTTGATCCCTCTTCTATTATTAGCCCAAGTAAAGCTATGACCACAGATCCTAGTTTCAGAAGCATTCATATTTGTAAAAACTCTTTAAAGCTTCTAAGGCTACTAGGTTCTCTCAATCTACCCTCTCTCTTCTGATGATTAGAA